GGTTTATCTGAGTTCTTATTATTATAATTTTCATTAAAATAAAGTATATTTATAATGCAATGCCTTTATCACTGCTTAAATACTATGAAATATGTTGCGTGCCTTATTCTGTGTAAGAAGCCGCATCATCTCACAGAAGGATTTATTTCAAACACTCGACTGACGTTATGAAGTGAGTTTGGAGTAAAAATATGTTATTAAATGTGGTATTTTCACATGCTTTCAGATGGAGCAGCATTTACTTCACAGAGCCGTAGTTCACTGAGAAGCTATGCAAACAGCTGTCATTATCGCGAACGATTTCAGCGATTTTTTTTGCGTATCTTGTCAGTGAACTACGGCTCTGTGTAGTAAATTCTGCTCCATCTGAAAGCACGTGATGATGATTTCCTGCTGATTACAGAACCGGCTTTTTAAACAAAATGCGCATGACAATCGCATTCGATTAATCGTGCAGCCCTACCCACATGACCCGCTGTGACATCAAACATGACAACAACTCACCCGCTTCAGAGATCCAAACCTCTGTAGTGTGCTTCATGAGAATTTATCTTTCTTTTCATTTTCCAGTTTTTTGGTTCATTAATCAGGAAATCAGTCGTGCTGATGAAAGTACAGCATTGGTCGTCTCACAGATCACTGAATCATAATGGCTCAAACGTTTTACAAGGCTACTGCACTGCTGTAAAACTCAAGTTGAGATGCTTGATACATTTAAATAAATGTATAGATTTAAGATAAAACCTTAATCAGATTTAAAGGTGAGTGTGTTTTGCTATTTGCCTGTGTTATTAAAGGGGTCATATGATGCAATTTCAAGTTTTCCTTTCTCTTTGGCGTCATGCTAACTGATAAGAAGTGCTTATTAGTTATAATTCTAGGGCATTGACAGGCGTTTGCTGTGGAGTTCTGGATAGAATATTACGTTCAATCAGCAAAAGGATGCAGAATTCCAGTATGAATTTTGAATGTGAGGAACATTAATTTGTAGTGAAATGAATAAAAATAGAAATCTATTAACAGAAATGAAAAGAAATGTATAGATAGATAGATATGGTTAAAGATGATGGATGAATGGATGGATAGATATGGTTAAAGATAGATAGATAGATAGATAGACGTCTTTGCGTAGCTGAAACACTAATTGAGCGATTACATGAGACAGGATACGGATTGTAAAGTTGTACTCTTTCTTTTAACTCACCTTCGGATGTTTAGTCATGTTTATTTTGTGCTGAAACTGGTATTAATGTGGAGGAGATGATTGGTTCACGTGCGCCTCGCGCTGCCGCGTCTGTTGAACTGAGGCGCTACAGGGATCTGTCACTCCACATTAAACAGCGCCAAAATGGCATTTATTGTTTGAATACTGCAATAGAATGGACAGAATTTGAAATCTGAGACTTTGTTTCATATTAAAAGTACCAAAGCACAATGCTTATTACGATTTATTGGATGGGAGGTGCCCTTCAAACCTCTGTCCATTAACTGAAAACAGGCTAGACTAAACGATTCTTGGGATTTAAGAATCAATATAGTTTCGTAAAAATGAGAATCGATTAAAGTCGAGAAATGGATATTTTTTTTAACCCAGCCCTGGTACATAGTTACAGATGTAGTTAGAGGTAGATCTCAGTTAGATAGATTAATTTCATGGAATGCATTGCCTATGTTGAATTCTTTTTTGAATTTGAAGTTCATTAAATAATTTTTCAACTTCCTGTGTGTTGTAGCCAATTCAGTTCTGAATTTTATATACAAACTCTGTATCTGTTATAAAGACTGTCACATTTTGACACCATAAAATCATATTTTGATCTGCTAGCCTGCATGGCCAAAGCAAGAACTCGGTATAGAAGTAAGAATCAAATTCTAGCATCATCGCCGGCGGCGTCACACCTGCACAGAGCAACTGAAGTGATTATTGACTTTGAGTTTTGATTGCAATTAAAGTGTTGATTGCAATTGCCGCTAAACGCTACGCTGAATAAGCTGCTCGCTCCCGCGTGTCATTGTGTTCAGCGCAAACCCACAAACCCCAGAGCTGCCAAAAGTGATAAATGAGCGGCCGCTCTGCCCTTCAGGTCTCTATTGGCCGTCTCAAGGGAATCCGAGCAGGTTGTTCCTCTAGAATATCCAATAACATAAACACGCTTGTGTTGGTTGGTTCGTGTGGGTCGATGGGGTTGAGTTAAGCGTGTGAGGTGTGTCATACATGGCCGGAGGTGTTACTGTTCATTTTCTCATCATGGATCTGTCGCTCATGATTGTGTTTCCCGCTGATGTCTGATGACTTCGTCCTCTTGAGCTGCCATCTGGGGTTCTGCTTCAATCATTTACCCACTTCTGACTTCGTAATAAAAGTCTTTCATGTTCTGAATCCGTCACAGTCAGGATGAGGTTATGAGGCAGAATATGGGCCACAGAAATGTTGGTGTGTTTGCAGAAGAAAAGATTCATCTATTTCATATTTAATGGGAAGAGAGAGAAGAATTGAGATGTTGCAGGATAAAAGGAATTGAAAACACACGTTAATGAAATTGGCTTGTGTGGATTGAGTTTTAGAATCTGCTGAGAGAATTCTAGAATCGTACTTCTCAAGAGATCTAGAATTTAGAATTTTTGACTTCTTATCAGGGATTTTAGGACATCGTCCACATTGCATGAAAATTAGCACAAATCATTCTCAGACACTCATGACAAAGTTATCAGAACATTTTTGATTCATCAAAATTCATCAAGGGTTGCAAAGATATAAATCCAGTGTTTCCCCTACCATTATATTAGGGGGTGCCCCCCCCCTCCCCAAGGTCAAGTAAATTTTTTTTTTATATATATTTTATATATTTTCTCCATATATTTTATATTTTCTCCATACTGCAATTTGGCTCCAAACCTCAGGTGAAAATTGTCATTTTGATCCCCCTCTACAAAATAGTGGATTGCTCGGTAAATATTCATCAGTGACATTTAATATTTTGGATTTCTTCTTCATTTATGTATTTCTTTCAACGGAAAAAATAATTGTAAATCAATTTTAGATGTGAACCTCTGGTTGAGTTGAAAAACGAAACAACCCATTCCAAGTTTGCAGTCTGACTTTTTGGTCTAAAATTACTTGAAATTTTATGACTTAAAGTTAAGACCAGTCTCAAAGGACAAGGTCACATTGTTTAAATAGATTTATGCAACCCGGCCTTAGAATTAAAGTAGAATTTTAATTTGCAATTCTAAAATTCTTTAAATTCTTTTAAATTTCCATTGTGAGTTCCTGAGTTTTTGAAAGGAGTTCTAGAATTTCTCCTCAGGTTTCCAGGCCGATTGAGTCTCGATTCTTTCTCTCTGTTTCCATGGAGAGCGAGTGGTTGCTACAGTGCGTGGTTTCTTGGTGTCAGCGCAGGGCTTCTTGAGGATTCGCTGTGACCCCGAGGGTTCGGCTGGCCCCTTTCACAATTGGCCGACCCGTTCCAGAGTCCCAGCACTGCTTTTGTTTGCACACTCATATATCAAACGCATTCTCCTGCCAGCGGCTCCAACAATGCTTCTCGAGGGCCGTTTCTGTCCTCAAACGCTCACATGCTCATATCAAAGACCCAGTGGGGACGTTCTGCGATTTCGACACATGCAAGTGCTGTGAAATGAGAACAAACCCCCTCCTGAGTGTCACCAAACAACTTCTGTGCTCGTTCTTTTTCCTTCTGTCTGTCTGTATGTGCAGCAGGCTGACATAAATCACAATTTCCTTTATAAATTTTATTTAATAGTAACAATAATAATGATTATGATAATGTTTTGATAATAATTTTTCTTAAATACTAGTTTTAACTACAGTTAAAATTACAATGGTTATATTTATTTTTATATCTATTTTATTTAAGAAAAATATATTAATTTGTCTTAATATTTTTACAGTCAAATATTACAAAAGTAATTTATTTTTAACATTTTATTTAATAATAATAATAATAATAATAATAATAATAATGATAGTCATGCTATTTTTATAAATGCTTTTTTTATTTTGTAATATATTTACTGAGTAACTAATTATTTTGCATATCTGTCTATTTTGGAGACTGCTAGTGCATAGTGACCCAGATTTAGTTTTTGACCATTGAAAATGTGACCACAGCATTTGTTTTCATCGTCTGTCTGTAGTTTTATCTTCTCTGTGAATTTATGGATAAATCTGATGTGTATTTTTACACCGGCAGAGAATCAGGACACAATTTCACGGCTCTGTTGCAGCATGTCTCATCCAAAGACGCTGTGAAATCTATGCAAATTCAGCCCAAATAGTTCCTGAAACCCTTTGAGAACAAACCCATCGGCCCACAGCGACCCGTCAGCGTCCAGAGCTGCTGCTCTCCTGCTGCGTGTGTCTGAACGCACCGTGGCTCTAATCTGACTTTGATATTCCTCTTCATGCCCTGAGCGCTGTGTCTTCATCACATAAACTCAAATACTGCTCTGTGTGTGTGTGTTTCTCTCTCAACTACACACACACCTTTGATTTATTGTCTTGCAAGAAAAATGTGTGAGGAAATCTGATTGCAATAAAAATTGTGTTTTAAAATGATTTAAAACATTATTATTATTATCAAAAAGATTCAAAACATTATTATTATTATTGTTGTTGTTGTTGTCTTTTAAATATTATTTATAAATACATTAAATTATATTATTATTAATTAAATATTATTTATTGAGTTATTATTGTTATTATAATGTACTAAACTAAATAAGAAATATTACTATTGTAATATTCACTTTAAAAACAAGTATTTAACAACAAAAACAACAACAATAATAATATTAATAATCATATATATTTCACTGTAAAATTAAATTATTCATTTTCATTATTATTAAATAAAATAAAAAAATACTATTGTAATATTCACTGTAAAAAACACATTTATTATTATTATTATTATTATATCAATTTTGATTCTTCCTTGTAAACATTTTTTTCTGACTTTCATATTCATGTCTTTCAGGTGTGCTGGTGTCCACTGGAATACTGTAGCGATGATTATCTGTCAATCACAGCAGAGCCGGCCCCCCGCAGCAGTTCGTGACCAATCAAAAGTGGACAAGAGGGCGGAGTCAGTTTGACTGACAGGCGAGAGACATACACTCAAATTCTGAGCCCTACCCCATCTCTTCAGCTCAGCGATGGTCACGTAGAAGCACAGACACATTTCTGTTGCATTCATTTTACATCCCAATCATGTAGATACAACTTTATCCATCGGTTTTCCTTCCTTCAGCTGTTTGTTTGTATTTGTTTGTGTGATGCTCGGTGTGCTCCGCCTGCGCCGTCTCGTTCGCCAGGTGCCGCTACAGACCAGCTTCATCTTCCTCTTCCTCCTGTGCGTCCTCAGCGTCTTCCTCTCTTCCTACTTCCTGTTTGTCGTCAAACGAGAGCTGGAACCGTCGCTCGCAGCAGGACATGCGGTTGGTGACCTCTATGTGACCCCGTCTCGGCCCCTCCCCTTCCTGTCTGGAGTGGGTGGGACACTGTCGTCTGATGGCTCTCGGACGGATCCGGTCGTGCTGGTGTTCGTGGAGAGTCCGTATTCGCAGCTCGGACAGGAGATCGTGGCCATCCTGGAGTCGGCGAGGTTTCGCTACCGGACGGAAATCTCTCCCGGAAAAGGAGACATGCCCACATTAATGGACGGACAGCGGGGCCGCTTTGTGCTTATTGTGTACGAAAACATCCTGAAGTATGTGAACATGGACGCCTGGAACAGGGAGTTACTGGACAGATACTGTATCGAGTTTGGAGTGGGAATGATCAGCTTCTTTAAGGTGAGCGACTCTGTATCACTCCTTCAGCTCTGAGTCTGAATTAAAAACTTTCTGCTGGGAAAAGTACACTGCCGTAAGTAGTGAGGTTTGTAATACCTGGAGAAAGTGATCCAGTAGTCTCAAAGCTTCTTGACTATCTTGAGCTAGAGATTATGTTGACATTACAGACAGCAGACGGCAAATATGCCGCCTCACAGTCACCCAGTCGCCCTGCTGCGGGGGCTCTACGACCAGAACCGAACAATGTACAGGACTCCCTGAGCTAGTCACATCCAAAGCCGTATCTAAGGCCCTCACATTCTTACTGTCCTCAATTAAAGTTTGGATACGTGTCTCTAGTTCTAAAATCCTCTCTGTCAGCCTAACTATTTCCCTGCATTTATCACATGTGAATCCCTGGTTGCCGACAGAGAGAGATAAACTGTACATGTGGCAAGCGGTGCAAACAACAATAGCAGGAGAAGAAGCCATTACTCACCGTGATTGATGAATGATTCCGACTTACCACTGTTGTTTGATGAACTTGTGAAAAATGGAGCGAGAGAGAAAAGAAAACGGTAATAGATGTGAATAGAAATGCGAATGGAAGCAGGCGCACTGCACTCGCGGTTTTAGATTAAAGGCGAACGATCAAAGTAGCCACATTAGTTTGATAGATAATATCAGAAATATGGTGGGAATTAAGTTATATTTTATCACTTTAAACAACAGAGAGTGATAGTAAGATAGCGATTCAATAGAAAAGTGAAGCTACACGGAGCTACAGTCGCAAACCACTCAGCAGCACGGCAGACTGGAACCGGCCTGAAGTCTTTTGACTTTTTTTTTTTTTTGAGAGTTATCAATTTTAACATTTATTAGACCTTAATATATTAGACTTTAACATTTATTAGACTTTAATAACTTGTCATTTAATTGAACTTAAAACAATCTTTACATAAACCCATTATAATCAATGTCATATTTACCTGTGCCCTTCAGCAGAAATATACAGAAATTGAACAAAGTAATCAAACACTAAATTCTAAATTAAATATAGATGAATCCTTATAGCTATAAAAGTTATTGATTTCCTCTTTTTTTTTTTTTGATGAACAATCATCACAGCAGCTGGTTATTAGGTTATTTTGGTTGCTATTTTTTAAGAGCTGCAGCTGCTCAACGTGACGCAGATCTGACACGAAGCTTATTATTTTCTCTCAAATCTCTTTAATTTTTCTGACCCACTTCAGGTCTTAAAGTCTCTACTAATGAACTGAGGAGTTGAATCAAGTGTGTTAGATGAGGGAGACAGTGCTGGGCTGCTCCAGGACAGTTTTGAAAACCATTTCAGAGATTTCAATGTTTCAAATCATAAAATGCCATCTCAAATAAAGCTAAAGGAGTGGACCTTATTAATAGTAGTATTTCACCTAAACTATATATATATATATATATATATATTCAAAAAAATTAAAGGAACACTTTGAAAACACATCAGATCTCAATGGGGAAAAATATCATGCTGGATATCTATACTGATCTGGACTGGGTAATGTGTTAGGAACGAAGGGATGCCACATCGTTTGATGGAAATGAAAATGATCAACCTACAGAGGGCTGAATTCTATATTACATGCATGCACAGATTTAAGGGGCCGTTCTCATGTTGTGTCTTTTGCGCGCTCAAGTTTGTTATTTCAAATGCAGACGTTCATAATGGAAGCGACATGTGAACGGCCCCTAAGGCACCTTTAATCACATTTTTGGTAATTTTATGACTTAACTGACCACGACATTGCATGCACATAGTTTATTTCATGCTTTGATATGAAATGATACAGGCTACAGTGCTAAGAAGAGCACAGAAGAGCACGCACTACGAACACAGTACCATTTCCGCGCTCGTTTGAATCATGCCTGGCACTGAAGTGTAGCTGGAGTCTGAAACGTTCTGCGACTAAATAAATACACTTAAAAAAAAAAAAAAAGAGACAGAAGCAGCAGTTGTGGGCAGTGGCCAACCCTAGCCTTAAATTAGCCTGCATTAAATGCGTTAAATATTTTTAACGCGTTGAACTGAAAAAATTAATCGCCTGCGTTAACGCGCTAATTTTGACAGCACATATATATATATATGTGTGCATCACTGAGCTCCTGGACAGTCTGAGGTGCAACCTGGTGGCGTCGGATGGACCGAAACATAATGTCCCAGAGGTGTTCTATTGGATTTAGGTCAGGCGAGCGTGGTATCATTCAATGGTATCAATTCCTCCAGGAACTGCCTGCATGCTCTCGCCACATGAGGCCAGGGCATTGTCGTGCACCAGGAGGAACCCAGGACCTACTGCACCAGCGTAGGGTCTGACAGTGGGCCCAAGGATTTCATCCCGATACCTTATTGCAGTCAGGGTGCCATTGTCTAGCCTCTAGATGTCTGTGCGTCCCTCCATGGATATGCCTCCCCAGACTATCACTAGGCGTGTTTCCATTACAGATTTGCGCAAAACTTTGGCGATATTTTATAAATGTCAAAAGCCCCTTATACTGGAGCGCAGCCACTTATGAAGTGTTTATTGGAGGTTATAGTACATTGAAGAATGATCATATGACTTTTTACATACGCCA